CCCTGGAGTCACCGCTCTGGCCCTGGAAGTATTCTTATACTAACGATGGGACCTTGGAGAATCATGACAATGTCATTAGAATTACCGATCTCGCAAAACCCCAAAACTGCAACCAAAATTGCCCGGTTTTAAGTGTGTGTCGCGATACCTGACTGGGAAGTCCTGACTGGTGGGTCAATCGATCCTCACAACCAAGACAGTTACTGGTTGGTCGTTCGATGATTCGGACACACCAACCACATTGCTCAAGCGTTAACACCTACACCTGTTCAGACGTGAACATTTAGATGAGTACAATGTACGTTGGTGGAGTAGTGGTTACACGCTTGCCTCGCATGTCAAATGTCCGGAGTTCGAATCCCGGCACGGCCATTGGGTATACACTGCTGATGAGCTCTAATATGAGCGAAACTCGAGTCCAGTGGTTCAGACACACCGGAATTACGCCAGAACAGGAGGACGGACGTTCAAATGAGAGTGGTGAGACTGTGAGCATTTGTATATACTTTGATTGGAAACGTCCCGTTTACGTTTCAGTATCCGTAGGTCCGCTGTAGCTGACAGGCACAGGCATCCCGAAATCAATCTGCAATCCTCGAACCTCAGTACAGCTGGCTGCTCCCAGTGTGCACACTCTGTTGAGAGCCAGAATGCAAGTCACACTTACTGCTACACTTGCACAGTAGGTTCGAAATCGGGTTTGTTTTTCCCTCGTGAAAATTCGTGAAATTTTTTTTCGGTTTTCAATCCGTTCACAGAATACATATGAGTAATTGTTGAATTTTATGACTAAGAAAATATTTGAGAGATAACCCTTGATATTTTGCGCCCGCTTCCTCTTCTGCATCTAGTTCTAAACATGACATCAATTTACGCCGATTGCCATCTGCAGCCATTGATAGACCACAACAGATGTGGTCGAAATGACTGCCCGTCGAACGTCAAACGCGGTATGCAATGCCACACCTGCAGGCCTGGTGGCAATTCAAATACATGGGTTTACAGGACAACCAGATAAGCCGACTAGCTAACTCCCCTGACCCGTTTGTCTGCGCCAGCTGGCTCTCCGTTATGGGTGCAATGCATACCGCAGCCAAAAGGAGAGCCAATTCCCACTGCAGATTCAGAAAGACCGATCCCGAAAACGGTACTTGATCCCCAGTGCAGAGTCAGAAAGACCGATGTGACTGTTCCGCTTTGATCGGGATACTTGACGCAGAATTGGAGCGTCTTTCTGAGGCACTGGAG